TAGGAACGTGGCTCGATGTTGGACGTATGAGACGGCCATTTTGGTGGGAAAGAAGGATGAGATACCCGACGAGATACCCAATAATACGGGTAATTTTTGGGTTTTTGGGGTTATTTTGTTATTGTTTTTATTATTTTTGTTGTTTTTATTGTTTTTGTTGTTATTTGTGTGTATTTTTGCAGAGTATCTTCAGTTTTTCGCACCTGAATTTACGTTGAAGCCGGTTTTGGCGAAGAGGCAGGAAAATCAAAATACGAAGGAGGTTGGAGATATTATTATTATTGTATTGTTTATTATTATGTATTATTGTATTATTTATGAGTATTATATTTATTATTGTTTTTATTCATTGTTATTGGTGGTTTCAGTATATAACAGCTCTAAAGCAAGAGGTGCTTGACCATCTTCGCCAAATACGCCACGCCCCCTCGGTGCAGATGCAGGAGGTACCGCCCGATTTGATTGATAAAGACGAGGTGGCATTTATTATTTATTATTATTATATATTGTTATTATATATATTTGTTATTTTTATTATATATTAATTTTTATTTTATTATTGTGATTATTTTTATTGATATTATTGAAAGTTAAGATATTTTTAATCGAAGAACCAGGGCCGGACGTGCTGCCGGAGGATATTGATCCGGAGGGTATGGGCATGTGTTCTTTTACTGCTACATCGATTAATTCTGATGAGGAGAATATGACGCCGTGATATTTATTTAGTATTATTATTGTTATGTATTGTTATTGTTTTTGTTATATATTATTGTTATTATTATTGTTGTTGTGTATATTATTAATATATAATATTATTACTATGTAATATTATTATTTATTATAGAAGTGATGTAATATCTGTATATAAGGTTTTTGATGTATATATGGCTGAATAAATTGATGAGTTGGGATCGGGGTATTTGAAGTGGTATGAATCGTGAGAAGGCGATCGCTTGATATTTTTTGGAGAGAATTGCCAAAATTTGGCGAAATGCTAATGCCAAGTTTTGGCGCAGTGTCCTCACCCTTTTTGTATTTAAATTCGTTTATGTAAATGGCGGGTGTTTTGTTTTGTTTGGTTGGTTTTGTGTGTTAGTATTATTTGTTGTAGTGGTTAATTGTTATTATTATTGTTGGTTGTTATTAATTGGAGGATATAATTTGATTGGTGCAACAGAAGAATGAAACCCGACGTGAAAGACCGTGATTATATGTACAGACTTATTATAGGGTGAGTTTCTTTGTTTAATTAATTAATAATAATAAATATAATATTTAATAATAAATATTATTATATAATAATAATGTATAATAATAAAAAAAATTTAAGGCAGTTATTCTACGACGGTCATCAGCAGCTGGCCTTGAATCTGGCCACTGCAATCGGGTGCTCCGCGCAGCCGCCGCCGCCTTCCGATAAATTATTTCGACTGGTCTCGATCGCGAAGCAATTCGTCGACGACCCTGACCAGAACAAAGACTCAGTCTTATTGGTGCGCGGGCTGAATTATTTATTGTTATTATATTTATTATTGTAATATTTATTGTTATTGTTTATTATTATGTATATTGTTGTTGTGTTTATTGTTTTTTAAGTTGCTTTTGTACTGGCTATTACTGTTTACTGTTGTTTTGAAAAAATTCCGTCACTTCTGTGATTTTGCCCTTGGTGGGATCCGAACTTGGGCCGAGTGTCGCAGGTGTCTGGTGTCTGGTTGGTGAGCGAGACGCTAACCGACTGCGCCAACGGTTTGGCGCAGTCGGTTAGTGGTTAGTGCGTCGTCCAGTCAGGGCAGCGGCCTGGGTCGTAGGTTCAATCCCCGGCTGGGTCAAAATTTTTGTAGTGTGAGGGTTGTGAAGGGCAGTTGTATTAGAGGTTTTTACAGGTAATAATAAGTAATACAATGTAATGTTGGTGATTATTTTGTTATTTTTTGGAAGAATATTTGTTAAATGTTATCGTAATGTTTTATAATGTAATATTTATTGTTATTTTTTAAATTATTGTAATTTTTATTATTATTTTAAAGATGGAGACAGTGTCGACGGGTTTGGATCTTGAGTTCGATGCCGATATAGAGCCGACCTCACCGGAACCGAGCATGTATGAGACGATTTATTTGACATCGCATAAGTCAGCGTGTCGGGCGTCTGCATTTAATATCGATGGTGCTTATTATTTATTATTATTTATTGTTATTTATTATTATTTATTATTATATATTACTATTTATTATTATTGTTATTTATTATTGTTGTTATTTATTATTGTTATTGTTCAAAGGCACCCTACTGGCGACTGGCTCAGCGGATTGTTCAATAAAAGTATTGGATGTGGAGAGGATCATAGCGAGGGAAGTGAGGTGTGGTTATTAATTATTGTTATTATTATTTATTTTTATTCTTATTATTTATTATTATTGTTATTTATTATTGTTTATTATTATTTATTATTATTATTATATAATTTATAGAGGTGAAGTGAATCTAACGGAGAACGGCCCGGATGCGCAGCATCCAGTGATCAGAACCTTGTATGATCATGTTGACGTGAGTTTATTTATTCCAATTTTTATTATTTTTATTTATTATTTTATTGTTTTTATTATTATTTATTATTGTTATTATTTATTATTTTTATTGTTATTATTTATTATTATTATATAATTTATAGAGGTGAAGTGAATCTAACGGAGAACGGCCCGGATGCGCAGCATCCAGTGATCAGAACATTGTATGATCATGTTGATGTGAGTTTATTTATTCCAATTTTTATTATTTTTATTTATTATTTTATTGTTTTTATTATTATTTATTGTTATTTTTATTTATTATTATATTATTTATAATTTAAGGAAGTAAACTGCCTGGCATTCCATCCCCGAGAGCAGATCCTCGTCTCGGGATCGTCCGATTTCACCGTTAAAATGTTCGACTACTCGAAAACCGCTGTGAAGAGGGCAATGAAGACCATATTCGTGAGTTTTATTTATTATTATGATTATTTATTATTACTATATTATTATGTTTATTATTATATTGATTATTATTATTAATAATAA